AAAGGCAGAAAAGTCAGTTAGAGTAAAGCCTTTTATTCTATCTGAAATAATGAATCACCAAGTAACTGAAACAGTGTGTAGACTTGTTTTCTGCCTTGCAATTGAGACATTTGCAATAATTATTACTCACTGATATGATTGCAAAAAACGGCAATCAGAGAACCCACTTCTTCCACTGCTTGGAATTTTTTTACGCGAAAATAAGTAAGTAATTTTAATATTTCTACAAAACGTAAAAAAACGTAAAATGGAGTAGCAAAACTCTTTCAAGAAATAAATTTTTTGGAATAACTGAAAAGATCAAACATTTGTGTGGAATCACAGGACTTAAAAAAGTGCTTTCTGTCGAAGATATCTTTGTTCTCAAGCACAAAATAACTTTCATCAAATCATTTCTCACAGATTTGTACTCATAATTAACATAACAATCAAATATAAATGTAAAAATTGCAAATTTAAAATCATTTGAGCAAAATACGACTGGTACTGATGACAAGTGATTAACTCCTTGCATAAGTAGTGAAAATGTGTTAATAAATCTGAGCACATGAACTTGTTTAGCTGATATCAAAATTTTCAAATGACAGAATCTGCTTAGAAGTTATCATTTCATTCACTTTAAAATAAGAAACAAAAAAAATATAGTGAATCACTCAGTAGTCAGAAAAAACGTAGTAATTACTGTGGTGAATCATAGAGCTGTTTTTATTTTTCACACTTGACTATTTTGAATGAATCAAAAATTGATTAAATTAATTTTTGTTGAAATAAATTTGGGACAGAAATGAAATGAGCATTTAGTCTGCGTCAACGAATGGCTCGTCGCGTGAGAAGTAATCCTTCCAATCCATCGTATTATATCCCAAATCTTCAGCTTTCTTTTTACAGCGAGGTGGTGGCATCATCTCATCATGCATCTGTGCCGCTCGTTGAAGTGCCCATCGATACGTGACCTGAAAACATATCAGTTCTGCTGCAAGTTGATCTTTTTGAGCGTTCTCCAACTATAAGGCATCTGTTATGTATAATGAGCGTCACCACTGTTATAACTGAAGTCAAAACATTGGTCTTTCTCCCCAATTTTCGAGAATGCTCAAAACAAAATCAGTTCTGCGAGTACTGCCATTTTTACTTTTTAATTACACTTTGTATGATTAAATGCTTCGGTTCCTATTGTGATTGCGCTCGCAGTTGTGCTGTGCATTTTTGAATGTAATTTTGAAAAGATTCAGTAAAATGCTCACTTTTTGACATACACAACATTATGGAATTTAAAATTAATTTTTGGTTTAATTGACTTTGAGCGTATTCAAACAGAGAAATGCTAACGTATTCAAGCACTATTGTTAAAGCCACCAACAAGAAACCAAATATAACTAAGAATAATCCACCAAATATGCAAATGAGCTGAAATATGCGAGGAACTGGCTGTAAAATAACTTAAAATACTATTTATTATACTGCAAGGAATAAGCAAATAAGTACTAGAAAGCATATTATTTAGATAATTTATGTACTAATGTATGCCATTAACTAGCACTTTTTTTCTATAACTCATAAATAATTCCAAGGAATTCAATTCATTCATAATGTACTTGTAGTATTTGTTACAACTGAAACCTTCAAAAATGAAATAAACGTTAATCTAAGCAATCATCAAAATCTATTCTAATTTCGAAAATAAAATAATAACAAACGAAACGTAACTAAATACAAGGTAAATGCAAAGTACCTTCAAGTTTCAGTATACTCTTCTCTAAGATTTATTTATGACAAACCAATGTGTGGTATATAATATAAGAATGAAAAATAATTTAATGATAACTTTTGGCATTTATTTTTCAAAAGCATTTATTTCACTTTAAGACTTCAAGAAATTTTCACAGAATTCGTAACGATCAAAAAATATTGCCCAATTTCTGTTTGTTTTTAGTTTGCTACTTTAGCTGCTACTTTACTTTCAACTGCCTGCTGCAATATAAAATTTGCATAAAATTTAATGCAAAAATTTTTAAATGCATTTTGCCAACTGTGTACTTAAGGAAGAATCTGTCAGTTTTTTAGTTTTATAGTTATTTGCAAATCAATCTGAAAGTTAAATAACAGCTTTTGAATTAATCAATACATCTCGGTGGGCTCACGATGAATTTATGTTACACTCAAAGTAATTCTCAACTAAATTCCCGCGAGAAACCAACTTGGAAATTATTTAGTGCGAACAGTTCTGGCACGACCATTTTTTGATCATTTTGTACCCAAACTGAAATACAATTTCAAATATTAATTTGCAGAGTGAATATTCGAAACGAATTAAAGCATAATATGAAAATATTGCAGACAGAAAGCAACTTTTACCGTATACAATAAATGCAAAGCTACTCACATGTGATAAGCAACAACATTAGTGACTATTTTTGTTTCTATTTGATGTAATAATCTAAGAAAAAAGCAAATAAACGTCTCAAATAAAAACTAATAATTAAACGAATCCGATTTAAAAGCAGTGATATTAGTAGTGTTTGTAATGTAAATGATTGTAATTGCATTAGCATTTTTAGTGAGAGAAGCGAAATTGAACTCATTTCCTACTCTCATACGACTGCTACACCGCGCTAATGTTACGTGAACACGCGTACTAATGTTGAGAGAACACGCGTATTACAGCGCAAAATTTGAATTCTCTGTCTACTTTTTATTTCACGATTTACAATGGAGACAGCCTTATTCAAGTTGCTTTTTTGTGCAATTTTTGTGCAACCTGTCTAGAAGTGTTTAAGGTGCTTGCTGATGAAGAATGCATCTCGTAATAATCTCTTTATCAACTCTGCCTTGTTTGATAATATAATCCTTTCACGTGTAATAAACACAACACGTCTTATCGATTTTACATTAATAAATCGGAAACAATAGCACTGAATAAGACAAAAAAATTTGAAGTTTGTACAATAAATATGTAACACGTGAATTAATTACAGAATGATAGAACAAAATAGTATCACCAATAGTGAAAAAAGAAAATTGAGAAGAGCTTTCGATAGATGATGAAAAGAGTAAGCTTCATCATAACTTCGAAAAGTCTGCGTGGCTTTGCAAATAAATCCCTGCAAGTGATCGGATTTCGCGCCATTTTACTTCCATTTTTTAATTGCTTTCTGTGCTTTGACGCATTCAAAGTTGAAAAATAAAACAGTTTCGAGATTTCGAAGTGAGATGAATATGAAAACGAGTCATAGTCTGGATCAGTATTGAATGATTATGCAAATTAAAAATATTATAAATAATATCAGCTTTGTGTTTTCATGTTTTATTCAGTCCTTAAAACTTGATTTGAGTCCATAATTGAGTACAAAGATAAACAGAAATCTATCATATCAGTTAGAATCAAATGCATTTTGGGAATCTTTTTTAGAGATCAAATGCTCTTTCTTTACAATAATCAATGTAAGACTGAAAAGTTTCAATTACATGATTGTTTAAGTCCTGTAATGATATTACATAAGTTATAAATAACAGGTTAATTTTAATATATCTTTCAAATCTTTGATAAACTTTAAATAAAATTTAAATTCAGCCAAAAACACGTTGTTTTTTACGAGAAATCAAGTACATGAACGAAAATGATAAATTAAAATAATTGCAATAATAATTTTAGTGGTAGTAATTGATATCTGAGGGACATTGTTGAGGCTAGCTGTGGATAAGTCCCGATTACAGCGATCACCTGAACACGCACAGTGTAATTCTTCTTCCTCATTACTCATCCACCGATGAGAGCAACCTAGTTGAATCTAAACTAAATTATCTTATTATAGTGAGTACTAAGAAATCAATCAACTGTCTTCAAACATTTTTTAATGTAATTACTTTGCACATTTTGGTAAAATTTCAGAAGTATGAATCAGATATAAGTTATAAGCAGAAAACGAAATATTTAAAATTTTTTCTTACTATTAATTATTTTTTAGTGGTAAAACTTAAAGTAAACTTCAAATTTGTTGAACAATAAGCAGTGAACTTTTTTGTTTCAATGACTAATCAAAAGATTGTAAGTTGCAAACATAGTGATTATCGGTGACATTAATGCATCCTTGTCGTTCGTTCAAAATTGGTTTTCGTTGTCGATAGTGATCTGTACCGAACTTTAACCTTTGTGTTGCGTAAGTACAGTAGTGACCAAGACATTGGTTTTGCTTACAGGTGGCAGTAATCATAGCATCTTGAGCGCTTACCTCACAATTTACACATTTATAAAGCTTTGGGACGAAGTAACTTCCTCTGAAGAAAATTTTATACAGAGCACACAACGAAGGCAATAAAATATACTATGAATTGATTTTGCTTTCTTAATGTGATCAAAGTTAAATTAATGAGCAAAGTCTTGTCATCATTTAACTTAATTACTTGGTATATATCATTACAAGTAAGTTTTTAAAGAATATTCATCAAGCTATGCGCAGAAATTAACGCATTTGCATTAAATAATTTTGCGGTTATAAATTTTATTTCAAACTATAAATTGAACAATTAATATTTCTACTATTAGAAATAACAAATTTGAAAGATGCATGAACAAAAGTTCGATCATTGATCTTGTCAGATCAAAAATTTTATCAGCAAAGTCTAAATTTTGATTTAATATCCATCGAAAGAATACTTTGAATTTGTGAGCAAAGATCTTGTTCGAGTGCTTCCTTCCGCATATGTCCAAGGAGTGAATATGTTATGAGCAGCATTACAGTTATTAGTATTGCAAATACAATGTCGTCTTGGTGAACTTGAACCTCTGAATAATTCTAAATAATCTCGTAGCACAAAACGTTCGAAAAGTAGGAATAACAAATCCAGATTAACTTTTCTGATTATGCAAGAATCGAGTGGAAATTAGTCTAATTTATTCTCTACTTTATTTTAATTTCTGTTATATTAAGAATAAAAATTCAAATATTTGAGAAAAGTTATAAGTAATTTGAAATGAACGAAGTTTTATACAGAACACACAACACACTTATTGCTAACCAGTCAAGACTTACTTAGTTTTAATATGCAAAATATTGCTTGCATTTGCCGATAAAAGCATTTAATAAGCTAATAGCAACTTGCACAATTCATAAAATAAGTAAACTTAATTGAATTTAAAACAGTGATGAATCTTCATGTAACTCTGTTAATTACTCACTAATTCAGCAATGATTTTTTCAAATTATTAATGTAATTTTCAGCCGTTTATATAGCTGTTTACTGTATTATTGTCGATGCATTTATTTTGTTTATTTTCTGCTCAAAATTGTTTGACGATGCCTTCGATATCCATTTTGGAAAAACTTACTTATGGTTGATTTGTATTTAAATTTATAAACAATTTAAATTCAATATGGTGCCAATATTGAAGAACTTATTTCACACGTGACAATCATCTGTTCAAAATTAATTTTCAGGTTCTTTCAAATAATAGTACGATTGCAGTTTTGTTTGCTTAAAGATAATAATGAAATTTTACCTACTAATAGTAACACATATTCGTGTTTGATAATACAGTAATTCAGGCCCTTTATAAAAATATGGTAGTGATGGAGGCCCGTAACCACATCCTGCTGCACCTGGAAGCAGGTACTTCAAAGTTGTAAATTTTGAAACAGAAAGTTGAAGCTTACTCTACAAATTTTAGTCTTATTATTTCTGAGACAATGGTATCAAAAATTGTGACTCAACTAATAACTTCGTGAGAAAAAATTTCAGACAATTTGTGGAGCTTAAATGAGTTGGAATGAGTTTATTACTGACCTGACGTAGAATCATCATGGCACCACTGACCCTGACAAGTCTCACCACATTCTGGTTGACGATCAGAGCAGTTTCGGCAGGTTACTGTTCGCCGGTGCATTGGCCTCAGGTAGATTATATCATTACAAAATTCACCTGAACAATGGACGTCAGCCGAGAAGCATTTATGAAAAATCCAATTATAAATGCGATTGAAGTGGTCATGAAAATTCTTTTATTACTTTAACGCACTCTCTCACCATTTTTTTCAAAGTATAAAATATCATTCAAAACTTTAGCTTCAACTTATTATTTTTAAAGTGAAATTTCTACGCTTTCAAGTATTTGTAAACAAAATCTCATTAAAATGAAAATGGCATCTCATTAGTATGCATAGAAAATGAAACAAAAATAGTGGGACAAAATAATAATAATAATAATAATAATAATAATAATCACAACAATAATAATAATAATAACAATAATTTTAAAATGTTTTCGTCTTTTCAAAACAAGAATGTCCCCCCTTCGCAGTCATATTAATAAATCGGCTGAAAAAAGAATAATCATTTCTGATAATGGAATAAAATACAGTTCATTATTACTTCGTTTCTATTAAATTTTCAATTTTCTGATAAATGTGATTTAATTTGATTCATAATCATTCTATATTTATACAGTAAAAGTAAGTAAAGAGTATTGATCCGGCTACAAAAACATTAAATTTTTCTCTCATAATAATGATAATAATAATTATTATTATAATTATTTTGATCATGCAAAATTATGTTTTCTGTTATATGTAATGAAAATGTTTTCCACAGTGGTATCTAAAACAAGTTTTAAGCTGAGTATCAATTTGTATCTTGTTGAAGCATGATTTGACACGTCATTAATCATAGTTTATTAATTTATATATATATAAATTAATAAACTTTAAAATGCTCCAACAAACCCCTCTTTCTTCCTTTATACATTAAATTTTTCATTCAAGCTTAATTCCAAAATGCTCATTACTTATGTTACAAAATTCCTTTTATCTTTTCACAAATTTAAGCTCTTAAGTAAATTTATATTATTAAAAATTTTGGCTATGCAAATACTTTAGCTTATTATTTACATTTTTAGTAGCTTTTTATACAAAATTCCTAATTAATCGCATCTTTTAGAAACTAATTTTCCCAATGATTCAGAGGGGATCTGATTGCATTCGTTATTTTGCAGCAGCTTGCTTAGCACTGAACCAAATTTATGCTTTTAAAGAATAGCAAAAAGGTATTTTTAGAAGAAAAACAATTTAAGTTCGTAAAAGAGAGAGAGTCTTTACATTCGTTGGCTTTAATTCACTTAAAATTAGTGATAATCAAATTAGTATTAACCTTTACAAATGCATAAGATGTGATCGCGGAAGTGATCATAATCGCAGCCCATGTGAGTGCGAGCCGGCCTTCTAATACATCCCTTAGTGATACGATAACGACCCTTCTCATCTGTTGGCTTCCGCTCAATAAAGCAAAATTCAGATTCACAAGAACCCATCTTCAAATACTCAATTTCAATTAAATTAATAATTGATCTTTTTTTAACTTTTTGATCCGAAAATTGAAAAATTGAACTACCAAAAAATTACTTACATAACTAACTTTCAGCTCAAAAGCACTCAAATCAGTTATTTGAGCTATTTTTCAACTGGTTCCTTACTTTACTTGATAAAATTTGATAATTATAGATGAGAAAAATTTTTTCTATTTCTATCATTCCTGCTAATTTTGAGAAGAGTTTTAGAAATATGACGTGATAAAAAGATCTACCGTATTTTAATATTCAGAACCTGAAATGCACAGTTCACTTTTAACTGAAATGTGCAGTTTACTTTTAACTGTTGTCTTCTCTTACAGTCGCTAAATAATATTTTAATGTTTTCAAAAATTTTTTTGTCTTCTTTGATAATTTTTCATCCAAATGATTAATTAGTGCAAAATTTTTGCAACTTACATCTTAAAAAATGTGTAATTTAACATATACATAAAAATTATATTATTATCTTTAACTGAATAATACATTTTAAAATTTGAAACATATATCACAATAGCGTTGAAAAATTAGTTTTTTATCTAAATTGACTGATTTATTTATCAATTTGTAATGTTATATAATTTTGTAATTAAATTAACTATTTTAACGAAAATTCTTAAGAATTAATTATTATTATTATTTATTTATTTATTTTTAAAAATTTACCCCCAAACCTTTTTATTCCATTTTTTACTCCTCATTGTTTTAGAGCAGAAATAAAATTTGAAATGACACTTCCTCAAGCAACAGCAATGAGTAGTTAAATAATTAAAATCATTTTGAATTAATGAAAGGAAAAATTAAAAAAAAAAGTGAGTTAACTTTAACCTGGCAATTACACGGTTCACTATAACAAGTACCCGCACATGAATAACAATTCGTAGTAACTTTATGTGCTATAAATATTGCAGGTGCGAACATGATGTATGGTAAATATTTTATTAACATTTCAATCTCCAAATTGGCATTCTGAAAAAGAAATACCAAAATTGCTATTAAGCAAATATTCATTGTTGTGATATGAATTAGTTTTGGTCGCAAAGACAATTTCAGTATTTTGGTTCTATTTGATATTGAAGAAAAATATCACAATTTCGAGTAAATTCTAGCAAAGTAGCAGTTAACAAAGTGATAAGTGAGAGAAAACACAAACTGATATCACTTTCTGATGAATGGAAAAATTGAAATGCGACAAAAATGAAAAGAAGTAAAGTAAGTCTGACTAACGGATAGCTTTACGTCTACACACAACTGTTTGCAATAAATTCTCGAGATATGGTGAGGGGCATTTCGCTTAAGCAATTTTATAGGTCACTTTTTGGTTTAGCAACCATCTATACTACAATTTATAACTATACTTAATGCTAAAATTTATTTATAGACTTCCTTAAGTATAAGTTTCAATAAACTCATTCATTTTAATATTTTAAGCAATCAAAAATTTAAAATGTTGATTAAATGCAAGCAAAATTTAGTGCTAAGCGGTGAGCACAGTTTACTCCATAAATTATTATTTTTTACTTGCTCATTTTTTGCAGTTATTGTTGTCAGATTCATATTTTCGCAAAATAATTAGTAAATACGAAGTACTGAATTTCTAGCACGGAAGTGAGAAAGATTGAACTTGACACTTGCTTATTCTGTATCGAAAATTACTTTCTAATGAGCACTTCTAACTCATTAATCCATTCAATTTATTGTTATAGAAATAACTGATAGCACTAATTTGATGAATTCGTTGTTTCAATTTTCTTTTTTTGCTGAGAATGATAAAACTTTTAGAAAGGAAACTAAATAGACATATTTTTAATGACACTTAATTTTTGCTCACAAATTTTGCTAAAATGACGGAGTAAATTACTTGAATTGAGCATTGATACTTTATCAAGCAGTAATTGTATTTGATATGATTTTAAAGAACTTACAACTATTCTATTTTTAGTAATTGTTTAGTGATATTCAGAAAATGGTAGGTGTGATGTTCAGAAAATGTCAGTGATATTCAGAAAATGGCAGTGGTATTCAGAAAATGGCAGTGATATTCAGAAAATGGCAAGTTTATTATTCAAAATGAACTTAATCCGATTTTGAGAAAGAAATTGATAAGACTATCAAAATATATATATCTGTTTTGTTAGGTATCAAAAGAGAGATCAGTTTCACTTTAAAAATAGTACCAATCAGGCAAAAAAATCCACTTTATTCGATGCAAAATCTGATATTCCTTTTGGTATAACTAATTATTGGCTTTAATAAACTTACAGAAACAGATTTGATTGGATTCAAATAAGTCAAACATACAAGTCTAATTAATAAGAATTTTTTTGCATTTTTAACTATTTTATTTTGGTGAAAAAAAGAATATTCAGAGATAAAGGAGAAGTTAAACATCATCGTTTGGTAAAAACTGTTGCAACGATTGAAAATATTTGCATATTTAGAAGATAAAAGATCTATCTGACAGCAAAACGAATAACCAAAATGAGTACTGAATTTAAAATTTGCTGATCTCACATTTAGTTCTACATAGTTTACTTATCTTACACTTACTTTAGAAAGTCACAAAATTATTTAGTTGATATTAATAACAAACATAAAGAACAAATTGTTCTGTGTAATATTAATTTATCATTGCATACTTTTTGCTTACAAGCAAATTTAGCTAAGATAATGTTGTTTTTTGCTTTTTCAAATGAATGAGCTATTTTATCATGACTATTATACAAAACAACGAAATAAGCACAGCAAGCAATAAAAGAATTAATTTGAAGTGAAGGAATGAATTGCTCTGTGCAACAATAGCCAACAAAACAACGTAAATGAAGTAAGTGGGAATGATTTTTTCCACGCAGTAATTCTTTATATTCAAATCGGAATATGCGTAGCGTAGATAGGTTGTATTCTATGACATCTCAGCTTAATATGGTAAACATTTTAATGACTATAAAAGGTTGTTTACGTTGCGTTACGAAGGCAACGCTAAAACTATGAATTGTCGAGAATTACCAAAAGTTCCGTTCTTTCTCATACTGTTTATCAATTTCATTTTAATTTTTCTTTGTTAGCATTGCACATATATTTTTCACTACTTGATAGTAGTATTCATATTCCACTTTTAATGATGAGAATAACACGTCTTCTCATATTCTCAGTCACTCATAACACTGCTCGGAAAGAGTATTCTAGAAGACTATAATTATAGCTTAGCTTTTTTCATAAAAATAATACTCGATTACATTTTCAAAGCAACAATGTTATGAATTGTAGTTCAGTCGTGGAAAAAGTTTTATTTATTTTAGCATGCAAGTAATATTTTATTCCCAATTATGCAAGCAGTATTAAATTCTTGAATTCTTTCAATTTACTAATTAGCAATTTTTCATTTAACAAACAATTCAAGATATCGCATTATAGTTAATAAAGTGTACAAAATACTTTTTCATGAAACAAATTGCTGCTATTATATGCAGCACAGATAATGATAATTTGAAAATTTACAAGTGCAAACAACAAATTAAATTATAATATATTAATTAGGAAGAAATTAAGATTGTCAGAGTTATGCAAATAATATCTGAGCAAAATACTGCACAAAAAAGTTATCATTCGAAGAATCGCTATCAATTTCAGCGATGTTTTGACTGAATGATAAACAGAAACAGAAATCAAGCATTTTCGAATATTGAAATAATATCGAAATTGATAAAATAGAATTGATTCAGATGGCGAAAATTCTCTTTAGTAAAATAGTCTTAGTTAGTATCAGAAAAGATCCTAACCATGAATGATATGCTGTGTTTATTGGAAATACATTTCTAATAAAATAATTCAGATGACAATCGTCGTAAATTTGATATACTTCTCGAATAACTTAGACAAAAACTTGCAAATTTAAGATCTTTTTTGATCTGATCTGTCAGTTTTAACAAAATTAAAATCATTTAATATATCCAAAATTTTTATCATTTTCTTTTGCACAAAGTACATAGTGAAAGTGATTTGCAAATCTGAATAAATTTTTTTGGAAATGCAAAAAAGGTGAAAAAATTAGTGAATGGAATTAAAAATTTGCCAATTACTTCAGGCGACTTCAAATTATTATTATTAATATTATTAATTATTAATTAATAATTGTCGTAACATTCTTATTTTTACATATCTACTCATCAATTCAAAATTAATTTCGAAATTTAAATCATTATCTCAATTAAACAAATTATGCCTGATGGTGTTAATATATCAATGTTAATGACTTATGAGTATTGATAATAGTAACAAAAGTAATGGCAATAAATAATTTTCAGCATTTGAAAAAGCTCAGTAATAAATAGCAACACAATCAGTAAAAATGAAATCCTTAACTATGGTAATAATAAAGTCAAACTTAACTTTAATATTGCAAAAAGTATAAATTTGTCATTAATAGTCATTTGCTATTTTAATATTAAAACTTTGCAAGCAAAGTTTGATTTAAATCCGAAATCCTACTGATACATTTTAACTTTTGCTCAACGAAGCGCTTAAAAGTGTCATTACAAATTATTCAAAATCTCTTTACTACTTATTGTTGGGAAGCATTCACTTTGTGTGTTAATAAGTAATTAAATTAAAAAATAAACACTTAATAAAATTTTATTTATTCATATTTTTACTTTATTTCACAGAGCACTGAAAAATTTTACGATTTAATTTTGAATTTTTATAATTAAAATCAATTGAGTTTGTCTGCAATAAATTTGAAAAGCTTTCCTTCTGCTTAAGTATATTTCTGTTAGCAATTATAAGTCTTTTTTTGCCATAAAACAGTTAAATCTTAGCACTTGCAGCAAATTTCGAGCGCTTCTTTTAATTTTTTGATTGTTTTCTTATTTTAATAATTTCGTAGATGAAAAATAATTTGTTACTTATTCAACTAATTAGCTCTTTTGAATAACCTTTGCGAGTACATTTATTTGTGCTTTAAT